CTGAACTGTCATCATGATTTTATTCATAGAATTTTCTAACAGCATTAAGTAAATTTTACAGAAGTCACTTCATAATCCTTTAACTGGAAGGTCAGTACAAACTATCTAGTTTATCTTACCAAAGGCAAAGAATATTCAATTCTAAGGCCTTATCATTCCCAGAAATAAGCAGGTTTTGAAAGTACATTAGTGGCACGCAAACCTTTGGGGTTAAAACTGTGAAAATTAAGTTCCTTACGCTTTACATTGAATTTTTGACACCATGTATTGAACACAGATGAGGAGATCTATCAATTACAGGCTCTCACTCAAACTGACAACTCTGCAACATAAGGAGAAACTAAGAACAGCTTTGCTTGGATCTCTTCAAGTGATACACGACACAGATGACCAGTTTCCATTCTTTTTCATGTTTAAAACCCTGCATGTTCAAATGTAACAGGTAAGTCATATGCAACTTTTAGTGAATATTAAACAGAACTACAGTGGTTGAGACAAAATTCGTTCTAAAGTAACAGAAGAAAGGGAAAGTAAAGAAAGATTTTGATCTAGAAAAGCTGGTTATATAACAACTTCTCTGATTATTTTTCCTGATTATTTAATAACCATGTCTATCTGCTGATTATTTTCAGTGATTATTTGATAACTATATCTATCTGCATCACTTTTTTGGCTTAAAAGTTCAAGCTGACATCAATGGTTATTGACCTAGAAACCAAAGCAAAAGGAAAGACTCCTTCTGCTTTCACTGGTTGTTTTATTAGGCCCATTTTGAGTAAAATCAGGTGCAGGTTGAGTTGCACGCAAATGTTTTCCCAACTTAACTATAATGGATAGGAGAATATTGTTTCTGTGCTCCCAGTACAGCAGTTTTTAGCAAGCCCTTATTGCAAATGCAGTTTTACCTACCCAAGGATTTTTTTTCTGATGCAGCTTGTTTCACTTGGAGATCTGTTTTGAGACAAGCCAACAAAATAATTGTTTTGTTGATTCTTGTTATGTCTATAGCAGTGGAACCTGCTGCAATAGATGTCGATGTCTGTCAAACTCATGCTATATGGAAAAGAATTTTTTTTTTTTTATTTTTAGCATGGTTTCTGCACAAGAAGGAGGACTATATCATCTCCTCTTTTCAGACATATTTCCATCAATGCCAGTGACAATTTTCATCAACATCACATGAAGTATTTAGCCTTTCAGCAAATTTCTGAAGTTTTAGTTATTTTTTTCAATACCATATGTAGAGATGGGATTAACAAGTTCTGTTTTCCACGTGTGCCTCTATTCACTCAATACCCAAGGGGAAAGTCAATTTAAATATTTACAAGCTCAGTAGATTATTAATTATGATTAACATCACCACCTCCAGGGCTGAGATGTTGCAAAATGTCATGCATGTGAACACAGAAAGCATTCATAAATACATCCAATGCAAGGTGTGGCATCTTGGGACAGCTGCTGGTCTCTTCAGAGAATGGCTGGGAAACAGGAATCTGTCATCCATCATTCATTAAAATGGCAATTACTGAAACAGCAGCAGGACCCACAAGTTCACAGTATTTGTCTTCTATGCCAATTTACCTAGCCAAACACCCTTACAAGAAAACTTACATAAAACACCAGCCCTCTAGAAAAACGTATAAACATCCTTAGAATTTAAAATTAAATTCACATATGTTTTCTAAAACAGGTTTCATTCAGCTCAGTTTTAAGCACCTACTGTAGTAATTTTCAGCAATCCTATGTCTTGAGAGTATCATAAAAACCCCCCTGTACCTTAATAAACACACACTGATTGAAGTTTCCAACTTACTTGCAAAATATAATAAAAACAAACTGAATAATAACATAAACAAGACACTAAAACTAGGTATGCTTCAGATAGATGGAGAAAAACTTCAGTATTTGATAGCACAGGACCAAATAAGTTCTAACTGCCATTCCCAAATCTGTGGTGTAGCCTTGTCTAAACATAAGTCACGGTACTTTAATTAAAATTAGAGTAGGTAGTTTAATGGTAGTTCAATGGAAGCCCCAGCATATGTAAAGCAAAAGACAGCCATTGTCCAATCCCTCCCCAAAAAGAAGGTAAACTGCCTCCACTGGGACAAGGCAATTTTAAGAGTGGTGAAATCCTTGCACTTAAGTTCCAGAACACACCAACTGCAATTACCCATAGAAAATATCCATTTACAGCCGACTGTTCCAATCATACTCACTGACTGCAAACCTCTGCGACACACGTTTGCGTATCTTTTGGATGTCTTCAAAGTTTGACGAAATAACATATTAAAAACTTACATACTAAAGCATTTATAAAGAACAAGTAACCAAAAGAAGACAATAAGAAAACCACAAGCGAGCTTGATCATAAAACAAAATATCATAAAACTGCAGCACACAAAAGGAGTGATGCAGATAAAACTGATGCAACTTTTCCATTGCTTTTTGGTAGAGCATACCAATTTGGGCATATTCAAAGATACATTTGTGAAAGACATGGCCAGAAAATTAGTTCTTAATTATTGCTGTGGAGGAAGTTACATTTAAATCTACATCTTAGTATATCAGTCACATTAATTTACTGAACCATGCAGACAGCAAAGTAAGAATCCTGCGTATTCATCACTTCCTCTTTCAGCTGGAAAGTTGCATTTCATTTCCCCCAACAATGTTTAAAACCCTTTTCAAAACATGACTGCTAAAAACACACCTGCTCGCCATGGGTACACATCGCATAACTTTTGGAGAACTGCAACCCCAGATTTCAGGATCATAACTTCAGAAGCATGACCTCTGAAAGTTCTCTGCATCTAAGATTAACTTGCAAGCGGCCAGCACAAAGAAAACTTACAGAATTTTAAAGATTAAAACATCTAAAGAACAAGAAAAGCTAAAACCAGTAGATTGAAATAATCCAATGAGTTTCTGGGTAAATCTGTTCAATCACTTGCTGTTTTTCCCCCCAAGCTCTTACAGTTTTAGTCCATTCAATCAATTAAAAATATCCCATAAAATATGAAAAGCTCTTTAGGATATCTTAAAAGAACAGCATTTCCTTTGAAGCCACCACAACTGAAAATTAAAAGAGAAAATGAAACTTTTCTTTGAATCCAATTTATAAAAAAAAAAAGGTACTTTAGGTTTTGTACAGATTAGAATTATGCTTTTATATAGCATTTGGTTCACAATATTAAAATCTATTGGAGTTAGAGTATTACAAATATAGTAAAATATCTGCCAACTTAATTATCTTTCATCAATAGTTATACACTAAATTAATAGACTCAGTATTAAGTATGTGAAAGCAGTATACTGGACATAGAGAAACAATAACTGATTATTATGGACTTCCATAGTAATATGATAGAAAACCACTACTAATCCCATGAAATTAAGAGTTTAATTCCTGGTATGTTTAACATTACAATTTACATCTAGCATTCAATGTAATTTATGTTAATAAAAATCAGTGAAAATTTATTTTCATGCTAACATCCAAAAAAATTCTGCACCTTGACTGGTGATGCTCACATTTAAAAAACTTAACTGGGCAGGCTAGAAATGTTAAAGCAGCAACAAGCCTCACTACCAGGGTAAGTTAAATGTTAAACTTTACAAAAGTCATTAGAGGATAAACATTAAAATTATAGCTTCAAACTCTTAGGTGTAACTCCTATTTTACAAAGTTAGGTATGGTTTTAAAGAGAAGTGATATTCTCACAGAATTCTTACTAAATGTTTTGTGAAAAAGAGAAGCTGCAGTTTTTGTCAGCTGTGATGGATCTTTTCCCACAAGTGTCAAGTTAACAGTATTATCATCATATATTGTGTTTTTAAAAAACATGTATCCAACTCAAGCTTCGGTAGTACCAGAGATAGATGTTCAGTCCCAAGAGCTCCTTTCTGCCAGATGTCTTGTCCTCTACCACAAAGATCATTTACTTGTAACACAAAAAGCCCAGGCACCTTCCTGAACTGTAAAGCAGGAAGCAAACTTCATGAGCTGCCTTAACCTAGATCACAGGAACACACGAAATTTTCATTCTACAGAGGATAAAAATGAAACAAAAATACATTTTATCTATACATAACTATGAATTGACTCGAGTGGAGAGTTATTCACTGCTAACAAACGTACAAAACAACCAACCCAAAACTAAATTTGTTTTCCTTAAAATAATCTTTGGCTTGGTCCAAACCTGCATTTTGATTTGGAATGTCAAACCTTACCACCGAGCACTCGCTCCTCACTCTTCCTCTGCAGCAACCATCTGGCTGTTCCCACCTCACGCAAACAGCCATCACTCATCCCTTTCTTTCCTTGTGTGCCTCCAGAGACCAGAATAGCCAGGCTAAAAAAGCTCTGTTTCTTGTGGGCAAGAAGGAGAATAAAGAAGGCAGTATGGCAATGAGAAATGTGCACCTACGGGTTCAGAAGCTGCTGCTCCTTCCACTGTACTGCAGGAGAGGGCAGGACCTACTCCCACGAAAAAGCTTAGCCCCCAGCAGACAAAACAGTGCATCTCTGCACCTTTAGATAAGGTCTTCCCCAGCACTGTGCTCTGTGTTGGTCTGTAGCTGGCAAGAATCCTTAAGCCATTCCCTGCTTCCTCCAGGGAAGGTAGTAGCCTGGATGGAAGCAAGTCACAGATTGTCTACAAGATCATACCATAAATTAGTGTGTAACACCAAGGATCAGAAAGCATCTTTTAAAGAAATTTCAAAGTTACATTGATTGCTTGAGGTTTATATTTCCATGTATCTTCCTTAAAATAAATGGACAGATGGCAAACTATTAACAATTAAGGGCACACCAATACAGATGAAGTGACACACTTCAATTATTATATCAGAATAACTGCATAATTTTATTCTGCACACAGAACACAACACTAGATTTGATTATTTAAAATATAACATTTTTCTAATAATTTTTTTTTTAACTGGGCTAAATATCATATTAATATTGATACATATTAACATATCACTATACTTACTCGGATCTACATTATTATTGTTGTTTTAGCATCTGATGAGCACTTTTTCTTTCTTTATTACTTTATTGTTATAAAACTTGTGTTTATTAAATAATTAGTTGCTATTTTTCAGTCTGGATGTTATGCCAAGCCACTTCTGGAAGAAACTGGGACATCTTCATTATCTGTACTTTTGTTTACTTAGTATCACAGGAGCTAGACTAGGAAAAAATACCAGATCCTGTTCTCTATTAAAACACATCTTATTTAATTACCAAAAGAAATATCACCCGTAGGTACTGAACTGATCACTCTAAACACTGCAATCTCATGTTTTCGAATTTGCAGATCTCAGTCTCCCCTGCATACTTGGAATTCATCATTAGACAAGAAAAAGAGATGCCTACTGCTTTTTTAATGCACAAATAATAATAAACAACACTACAGACCCCAGTTATTTTTCCCAAATATTTTCGGTCAGACATATTTTGTTTAGGTATTAACTTTGGTATTTACTTTCTTACTATCCACTAGAACCACTGTACTTCGTATTTATCTTTTTCACAAATTCTTCCCTACTAGTGTCACAGCACTTTACTGATGAAACCTAAATAAAACACTTTTTCCTAGCACATTATCTTCCAGTAACAGGACACAAAAAACTAGCAGCTCTTCGGATATATTAGAGTTGAGTGTTGTGTGAGCTGACTAACTGGATCACCACTCCTTACTTGGGTAATACATATACATCGTTCCACATCCCACTTCCCAGCACCTGCTCCAAGTAAGCAGTCATCCTCCAATTTCTACTGCAGCCTAAAGAAAAGCAGGGAGCACTGGACCCCTGCTGCTATTCAGTTTCAGAGATTTGCTGTTGCCGCCACCATCAAAATATTTTTCAGTCTACTATATGTCCACAGCTTTACCAAGTTTGTATTCCCTGATATCAAACCCAAAAAGTGAGGGATGGTTGGGAAAGATAAGTATGAACAGGAAAGATGTCATACTGTTCCTTTCTCTAAACTCAACCTGCATCCTTACCCTTCTGGTTTTGGCCATGGCAGGCAGAGGATGCACATCATTTGGACAGCAGTCACCCCCAAGACCACCATGTCTGGGGATGCAGCCTAAGTACAAGTCTCCCACTCCATAAGGTGCTTCCAGCCCGACTATGGGCCTGTTTGATGTACTTTTAATTTTTTTTTGACCAACAATTTGAAAATTATGGTCCATGAGGCTCCGGGAAACAACAGAAAGAGATGAATTCTTTAGGTGAAAATCTGAAGCTGGCACATGGCAAACCACATCTAGTTTTAAGGGTAGTGAATCATTCACTGATTCAACATAATCAGACACATTAGTTCAGAGAAAAGCTTAGTAATTTTGCTATACTATACTATACTATAATAAACTGAAGGTAAATGTCATACTATATTTTGGCATTTTGAGGCCAGCTGCATGACACCAAACTTTACAGAAGGAAAATAGATTTGCATTTGTTGCTATTTATTGCTGAACAGCAGCATCTTCCATGTTAGTCTAAAAACAGCCTGTAAGAAACAGCAGTGTTAACTTAGAAAATATGCAAATCTTTTCTGTAAGAAAATACAGCTAAAACATATTAGGGAAGTATGCCTAAAGGGTACAGCAGAGATCAAACCCCAAAGCTCAGGCACATCAGCTCTGCTTTAGGCACACCTGCAGAATCCAGCCATGCAGCTCTGAAGCAGGAATGCAGTTACTGCAGTTTGAGGACAATATATTCTGGCATAGACATGCACATACAGAAATGGAAATAAGCTTCCCTACAGAAAAAGAACTTTGTTCCCTGCATAACTACAATCACATCAGGGATTTTACAGTGAAATCCTTCCTCTGGGGAAAAAAACCCCACCAAACCAAACCACAAAATCTACCCTTCCACCCCTGAACACACCTTAACTAGGACTGAACGATGCCAAAGTTGCACCTGGAGTATTAAAATTTGGAGGCAGCTATCCCTATCTTCCATTTCAGACATGGCAAGACTACAGAATACAACTTATTTTCTCCAAGACAGAAAAAAGATCCCTAGAACAGGGAATGTAAGGTTCCCTGCTTCTCCATAACAGACACTCCATTTTTTATATAATTACCTAGAACAGTACAGCAAGGGGGTTAATAAATTTCAAACACTCAGAAGTACTAAACAGTCAAAACTACAACAGCTTGGAAGGGCTCTTTTTTTTATTTCTCATTAGAAAAGAGCCCCTCCAAAGCATGTCACACACACTGTATGGACTTTACACAGCCCCCAACGAAATGAGCTGAAGAAGCCACACAGCATCATTCACCATGAGCTGTGTGCAACACCTCAAAGGACACCAAAACCCAAATCTAAGGGATCACTCCTTTAAGATCATTAATACATTTACATCCATTAAATCCAACAGAGCCTCAACATCACCCTGAACGGGTGCATTATGGCAGTGCTGAACTCTCATGGTAAGCACTTCAAGCCTTTTCCAGGTGAGAAACACGTTTAGGAATGCAATTAGGGCTGTTCTGCTGTGCTGGAACAAGGGACCTGCACAAATCTGGCCTATGCAACTGGCAAAAAGGCCTTAGCCTGTTTCTATTAATTATTATTTCCCGTTAAGGATGATCATTAACCTCAGGGACAACTGGGTGGGGGAATCCAAACCACACTGTCCTCATGAACAGACACCTTCGATGTGCATTGCTGATGTTTTCTTTGTTGCTCATTTTAACATACATAAGTGCTTAAAAGTAAGACCTCATCAGTGGGTCATGTATTTGCTCATACATCACACACTGACATGTCCCTGGAAGTGTTCAAAGGCCAGGTTGGATGGAGCAACCTAGTCCACTGGAAGGTTTCCCAGCCCATGGCAGGGGCCTTGGAACGAGATAATCTTTAGGGTCCCTTCCAACCCAAGGCATTCCGTGGTTCTGTGATGTACAATAACACACACACTTTTTAAACAACATTATCAGGTAGGGAACAGCATCCTTAGCACCTGTTAACCACACTAGATGTGTAAAAATGACAATAACAGTAAGTTTTCTGGGTTTTTTTAAAGATGTGACCTTTAGGGGAAGGCAGATGAATAAAAAAACCTGATTTCTCCCTCCCCACCAAAAAAACCCCCCACCAACCCAAAACAACCCCGCGGGGAGCCAACCCACAGTCCAGCAGAGCTCTCATCCGAGACCGAGCTGTAGCGAACCCCGCACGATCCAAACGGAGTAAACGCTTCAGGAAACAGGTCCCACAGGGTGCCTGTTCCCTTAGGGGCAGGAGGGACAACACGGAGAGAGGTAAGTGAACACGAAGAGGGAGAGAGGGAGGGAGGGGAGGGAGAAGAAGGAGAGAGGGAGGGACGGAAGGGAGGAGGGAGAGAGGAAGAAGGCAGGGACGGAGGGAGGGAAGGAAGGGAGAGAGGACAGAGAGGCAGGGAGGGAGGAGGAGGGAGGGAGGAAGAGGGAGATGGAGAAGTGGGTGGAGCCCTCCGCGGCCACGCCCCCCGCGCGCGGGCAGCCTGGCCCGGCCCCTCCCCCACCCGGGAGCCGCGCGCTACGGGGAGGTGGCGGCTCGCGCCGCTCGTTGTCCCCCCCCTTCCTCTCCTCCGCCCCCGCCCGCCCGGACACGGAACGGCTCCTGCGCCCCCCACGGGGGTGTCGGGCCGGGCCGGCCGCCCCTTCGTCCCCGCACTGACCGTCGGGGGTCCCGCTCGCTGGCGCAGCGGCTCCGCCTCGGCCTCAGGCGCGGCGGGCACGCCCCGCCTCGCGCCCCATCCCGGCGCCGCCGCCGCCCGGCGCTCGCAGGCACGGCCGGGGAGCGGCGCGAGCTGCAGCCACCGCGCATGCGCGCCGCCTCGCTCCGCGCGGCCAGGAGGGCGGGGCGGGAGGCGCTGGTCTCGCCGCTCGCGGGGTATGACGGGAATTGTAGTTCATCCCGGGGGGCGCTGCCTGGGGGGTGCGAGGCGGCTGCGGCCGCCGCACTACAGCTCCCAGCGGCCCGCGCGCCTCGAGGGGGGAGCGACGGTGCCTCTCCTGCCCCCGTGGCTGTTGAAGCCGCTGCCTGAGGGATGCCCGGCCTCCCTGCCTCCCTGCCCGGCGGGGACAGCCGAGATATGTGTATGGAGCTTCCGCAGCAACCGCCGAGGGCCGGCGGGCAGCGGCCTCACCGCTCCTCTGGGGAGGTTTACGAGAAACGCGAGGGTCCTTGGTCATTAAGCCAGCAGTGGCCCTTGTGGCCAAGAAGGCCAGTGGGTTCCTGGGGGGCATTGGGAAGAGCATTCACAGCAGGTTAGAGGAGGTGATCCTGCCCCTCCAGCCCTGGTGAGGCCACATCTGGAGTGCTGTGTCCAGTTCTAGGCTCCTAAGTACAAGAGAGACATGGAGCTCCTGAAGCAGATCCAATGAATGGCAGCAATGATGATCAAGGGACTATAGCATCTCTCTAATGAGGCAAGACTGAGAGAGTTGGGCCTGTTCAGCCTCAACAAGAGACAACTGTCTATAAGTATCAGAAGGGAGGTGCCAAAAGGATGGAGCCGAGCTCTTAGGGTTGCCAAGAGGCAACGGCCAGAACCTGATGCACAGGAAGTTCCACCTGAATATGAGGAAGAACTTTACTGCGTGGGTGAACAAGCATGGGACAGAGCCCAGAGGGGTTGTGAAGTCTCCCTCATGGGAGATACTCAAGAACCATCTGGACACAATCCCATGCCATGTGCTCTGGGATGACCTTGCTTGAGCAGGGAGGTTGGACCAGAGGTTGGAAGGGACCACTGTGGTCCCTTCCAATGTGACCCATTCTGGGAGTCTGTAATTCTGTTAGTAGTGATAAAGCTGGGTACAGCCAAACATGTTGTGAGATTATAATTGTCAGAATGGGACGTCTGGGAACACTACAAGTCCCAAGACACAGCCCCATAGGTGGGGTCACCTGGGCTGCCTCCTCAGCTCACATGGGAGCAGCTGTTGGCTTCGGCTTTGGCTTCATCCTGCATAACAAACCTGACCTTGAGTCGCTGCCCACTCTCTCTGCCACTCTCTGAAATATGAGGAAATGGAGTCTGGATGTGACTTGAGGCAACCTGTGCCAAGGAACACATCTCCATCTAAATGTGCATCCTGTTTACAGTGATGCTGAAAGGAATTTTGCAAATTTTTGCCTCTTACAATGCAAGTTTCTGTTATGTTAAGCACCTGCATAATTTGAATCCCTTTCAGGATTCTTCATCAACAGAAGAACTTGTTTCAACCAGAAGCAGGGCCGATTCATTCCCACAGCCTCAAGCATAATCCCCAGCCTATTGGACACATTAATACTGTGGCAGTGTGCCACCTGCTCCATTTATTCACTTGAGATTCAATGCTGCTTAGTCCCTGTCAAATGAGCTCTTTGTGCCACCTCCTGCGGTAATGTAAAAGGTCCCCCACAGGAATTTCTGCTATTCAGTAGAAGATACAAAAGGGAGGGTTGTAAACACTCTGATTAGTGTTGGAGCACAGGGATATTGTCTCCACTGCGTATTACATAACCACACAACTTCCAGTCTACCTCCTCCTCCTCTCCAGAAGAAGCAGTTTAACAGCAAGGGTTCACTGGGCTACTTAACTTCACAGCTGAATGTGTTTCTCTTTTTTTTTTATACAAACCCCACGTTACTCCTGGCAAAAGAAGAGAAAAATTTAGTTCTGTAACATTCCATAGTAATTCAGGATGATTGCCTGTGAGGATCTCCACTTGAAGTGACAGTGGCCAGAGGCTCTCAGCTCTGAAGAATGGGTGTTATCAGAGGCCTTTGCCAAGAAAAGTTCATGCACAATGGGCCCATCAGCTAATGAACCCAGAATGAATCTTCTCCCAGTTTTTGAGGACAAACAAGTAATTGTGTGCAGTACTGACTATACCAATTTACTGCCGTGTGAAACACATTTGGATGATTTCTGACTTAGAAAACTTACTGAGGTCTGAGGCCAACTTACACAGACCCAGGCACTTTCTTACACCCTCCAAATGCTCCACATTCACTCAGTAAATTCTTACTGCTTTAAGAACAAAATGAAACAAGGATTCAGAGGTGGCAAGCTCTCTGCTTTGAAATTCAGTCTCACCTGAGCCTCATAAACACAATAAAATAGTAATGGAGGGGAACTTTAGAAACCATTTAGTCAGTGAAAAAAAAATGGAAAAGGCATAGCTGTGTTAATGAATAATTCCTTCCTTCTTCTACAGCTTCAAGAAAGCCAGTCTGGGGTTGAGTTTGTCTTAGAAAGATGGGAGTCCACGTGGGTCGTACCATTCTGGGATAAACTTTAGACATGCTGTGTAATTCTCATGAGCAATAAAGGAATATACAGCAGTCATAAAGAAACTAGTTGGCCTCATACAGAAACAAACATGTGAAATGAGCCTGAATATACATCAGGAAACCTAGAAGTAGTAAATGAATTAATGCCTTTGGGGGGAAAAAAGTATGATGTTTGTAGAAAGTACCACAGAGCAGAAGAGAGCTAAGAAAGTGTGTGACACTGAACTCTGCCTAAAATACCCCCATGGGCAGTACTAAGGAGTCACAGAATCGCAGAATGGTTTGGGTTGGAAGGGACTTTAAAGGTCACCTTGTTCCAACCCCCCCTGCCAGGGGTGGGGATATCTTCCATTAGAACAGGTTGCTTAAAGCCAAATAATTCCAAGTTCTCCGCAGCAGGAAGAAAATTTATAAATACTTAAACAATGAAGAGGGTGTAAGAAAACTTGGGTCTTGGCCACTCTTACATCGTAGATAGAGTTGTCTGAAAGGAATTTGCTCTGTTCTGTGCAACGTTTTGTATCCAAGTATGTTTGTCTATATGAGTAGCCCAAACTTTAATGATGTACTGGTGATTTGGTGAGAGATGTTGTGCCAAGAGAATATGGAATCTTGATACAAGTGTTTCCTTTGCAAAACCCAACAGATAGTATGATCAGCAAAATGTTAGGTTCTCTGACCAATGCTCCTCTGCATGAGCACAAAGGAGCACAGTGGCACAGTGAAAAGTAGGGGAACCCCAGTATGGTACTCAGAGAAATGAGCTCCTCCCAGGACATCAAAAGCCCCTTGGTCAGCAGGTTGAGGGAGGGGATTCTGCCCCTCTATTCTACCCTGGTGAGACCTGACCTGGAGTGCTGCATCCAGCTCTGGGGTCCCCAGCACAAGAAAGACATGGACCTGTTGGAGCAAGTCCAGAGGAGGCCACCAAGATGATCATAGGATAGAACATCTCTCCCATGAGGAAAGGACGAGAGAATTGGGTTTGTTCAGCCTGGAAAAGAGAAAGCTCAGGGGACACCTAATGGTGGCCTTCCAGTACCTGAAGAGAGCTACAAGAAAGATGGAGAGAGACTTTTTACAAGGGCATGTAGTGACAGGACAAGGGGGAATGGATTCAAACTAAAAGACAGTAGGTTTAAATTAGATATTAGGAGGAAGTTCTTTGCTGTGGGGGTGGTGAGGCACTGGAACAGGTTGCTCAGAGAAGCTGTGGATGCCCCATCTGTGGAGGTGTTCAAGGCTGGATGGAGCTCTGAGCAAGCTGGTCTAGTGGAAGATGTCCCTGCCCATGGTGGGAGGGTTGGAACTAGATGATCTTTAAGGTCCCTTCCAACCCAAATCATTCTATGATTCTGTGATTCTATGACAGCCATCACTGTGAATTATGTGGGTTACTGCCTACAGGAGTATGACACTCCTGGGATATAGGGGAAGAGCATTTTGTGATGGCACAAGACCAAAGGCAAGGAAAGGGAGGTTTGTCTGGGGAGTAACAAAGGTGGAGAAAAAGAAGGACAAGATAAAAGAGGCAGGTCAGCTGTAAATAGGTTGCTGGTCAGTAACACTTGTTTGGCTGTGCCCTGCAGGTACCTCATCACCATGGTCTGTCCTGTCTTCTCATTAAACTTCTGCTGGGTGCCAAGTCCTCATGCTCTGCTCATGAGGGTATAAGTGCCAGCCATCACAGAGGGGACCACAAGTCATGAGGCTGGAGAGACTGGAGCATGCCCGTGTTGTGTGGGTCTGTGTGCCCGTGTGTGATTGCCAGCAAACACCAGGGCACACCAGCCAGCAGGATGAGGGGCTGCAGAGCAGCCATAATTTTGGGAGGCATACTGGAGTGATCATAAATATATTATTAAAGATACGAGCAGGTGTACTTAAATTTATTTTTTAAGTATTAGATGTGAATTAAGTGTAGTAAAAGCAAGCCAGAAAGCCTAAGAAATGACAGGAAAGCAATGTCACATTATGACCACTGTACTCACTTTCTGCACAATGTCAGTGCTTCTGAAATTTAAGAGCAAAAGGTGCT